TCTCTCTGCATCCTTCTTCTTCTGCGCCTCGGCATGCGCCGGGTTCACCGCCGCCGCTCTGCGTCCTCGGGAGCAGGCGGCGGGGAAGCTTCGACGTCTCTCATCCCTGTTGGAACGGGCGAACGCAAGTAAGGGAACGGAAAGCGGTGAGGAGCGAGGAGGCCTCGGGGCCCAACAGTAGCGTGACTTACCCAATGAGAGGTACCCCTGCGATGGGCGCATTGCGATAGGGGTCAGACCACCGCTCTTCAGCCGCCCCTCCACCGTCTCCCTCGCCCGCCGTAGAATCTCCTCATCGGAGAGGGGGACGACAGACATCCGGATGCCCTCGATCGACTCACCCGGTCTCATGTCGAATAGGCGCCGCCGCCGAGCCATCAGCGGCAGCACCCTCCGGCGGTGGAAGGCAGCCACGACCACAGCCGCCAGAAGGCCATGGTTCAGTAGCTTCTCCAGCCCTCCAGAGCGGGCTGCGGCTTGGGCTGATCCTCCCGGGAACGCCATACCTCCACTTCTCCGGACAGTCCTCCACGATCCGCCCGGTATAGGGGGGAAGTCCGCTGTCATCGTTGCGGAGGTAGAACCAGCTGGTGTACCAGCGGCGATTGGTTGACGTGACCTGGGCCGGGATGTAAAGGTGCTGCCGGTCTTAGCGCACCTGGAGAGTAAAGCCGCCGGCCCTCATCGTCTTCCTCATACTCGGCGTGCCCGTCGGCTTGGTGGTATGCCCCGCCCGGAAGAGATGGAGCCACAGCTCCCAATGGGGGGCAATGCCCAAGTACCCCTCGCAGACGGCGACAAAGATGGCCGCTTGCGCGATGGAGTTGGGGTTGAAGTTGTGCAGCTCCACGCCGTAGTAATGCAGGAGCGCCCGCATGAATCGGTCTGCCGGCATGCCGAGACCACGCTCGTGGAAAGACACGAAGCTCATGACGTACCCTTCGCGTGGCCTCGGTTCCGGCTCGCCCGACGGAGCAATCCACTCCGGCCTATCGGGGTCGGTGATCGGGCGGAGAAGGCCGTCGTCGACGAGCAACCGCAGCATCTCCACGGACACGTCGGACGGATCCCAAGGATCCGCCGGGAGGATGACAGGCCGCCGGCCATTGCGCGGTGGAGGATGCTGCTACGGCGGTAAATCTCTCTCTAAATCTCTCTCTCCCTCGCCCTTCTCCCTTCTTCTCCCCGGTGCTCTCTGATCCTAGCAACGGCTCGAGGGCAGCAAAAGCGAATGCAGGCAAGGTAAGGAGGGGAGGGGCGAGGCTCGTTGTGTAGTTATGCGGGAAGGGGACGAAACGGACGGGCGACGAAATCGGAGAAGTTTCCCTCAAGTCCGGCACAGATAATCCAGATCCGATTTAACCGCCCACGCGCCCACCTTTTCCTCATTAATCGCACGAACAGTTATATCCCGTCCACGACAAATGTCAGCATCCAACCGTAAAGCAATAAAGAAGAGCCCGAGAAACCGCCTCAAAAGCGCGCCCACCGTTGTCAGCCGATGGGAGGGGAATATCCCCCCACCCGATTCCTTTCAGACTAAGGAACTGGGCGCCGAGCCCGTTCTGGTCCAGGGGTTCAAGAAAATTGGGCCCCGAGGGTCTCGGACAACCGCCCAGACAACACAGAGTCGGGGACAACTATGGGCGAGCCCGTACATGGCCGAGGCCGAGCAAGCGATCGCTCGGGACGCCCTAAGTCGTGTCAAGATCGGCAGGAGGTCTCCGAATGGGATCCCACCATAGGGAGGCGCCGAGCCCCCGGGCCAATTGAACGGCCCAGGGACCCACTAGAGAAGCCCTCGGTACTTTTTGAGCGTCTACGGACCACTAGCTTAACCCTCTATCGAATGGGGCACGGGCCTCCACTCGGACTTACCCGATAACAACTCACCGGAAGTGTCACCGCTTTCGCGCCACCGAGGGTAGCCGACATATTCCACCCTCCTTCCGAACGAAAAGGATGCGCGAGGGTCGCACACAAAAGGGGGGAACTCGATGCACGCGAGGGCTCGGGGGCAAACAACGCCCTCCTTAGAGACCCGAAAAAGGATACGCGAGGGGCAAACAACCCCTCCTTCGCACGAAAAATGCGCGAGGGTCGCACAAAAGCCGGGAGAACTCCTCTCGCCTCTCGCTCCAAAGAGGCTCGGGGCTCTTCTGTCAGAACCTGCCGAGACCAGTGACCCAGGCTCGCACGCGAGGGCTCGGCAAACAACCCTCCTTCCGAACGAAAAGGATGAGCGAGGGTCGCACAAAAAGCCGGGGAACTCTTGATCGCCCTCTCGCCTCCGCACGGAGGCTCGGGGCTCTTCCTGCGCAACCTTGCCAAGACCAATGACCAAGCTCGCTGCGTGAGGGCTCGGCAAACAACCCCTCCTTCCGACCGAAAAGGATGCGCGAGGGTCGCACAAAAAGCCGGGGAAACTCTTGATCGCCTCTCGCCCGTCAGTGAGGCTCGGGGCTCTTCCTGCAACCTTAGAGACCTGTGACCATTCAAAGCTCTCGACGCGAGGGCTCTCGTGAACGAACGAAAACAAGCAACCCAAGCTCGCACTCGGAGACTCGGAAAAACGCGATAAAAAGAGTACCGAGCCCGTTACGGTCCAGGGGTTCGAAGGCTAGGCCCCCCAAAGGTTTCGACAGCCACCTCAGGACAAACAGAGTCAGGGATGACTGTGGGCAAGCCCGTACATGGCCAAGGCCCAAGCAAGCAAATGCTTGGGAAGCCCTAAGTCATGTCCGAGACCGGCAGGGAGGTCTCCGAATGGGATCGCACCGTAGGGAGGCATCGAGCCCCCGGGGCCAATCGAACGGCCCTGGGACCCACTAGATAAGCCCTCTGGTACTTTTGGAGTGTGTCTCGACCGCTAGCCGACCCCTTATCGAATGGGGCACAGGCCTCCACTCGGACTTACCCGATAATAGCTCACCGGAGATGTCACTGCTCGCGCCCACCGAGGGTAGCTTGGCATGCTCCACCCCTCCTTCCGACCGAAAAGGATGCGCGAGGGCCGCCAAAAAAGACAGGGAACCCACTGATCGCCCTCTCGCTCAGTGCAGAGGCTCGGGGGCTCTTCCTGCAACAAAGCCAAGGTCCAGCGACCCGAACTCGTACTCATGGACCCGACAAACGCGATAAAACTCCTTACTCAACAGAGAAAAAGCCCCTGGAGGAGTAAGTCCACTCCTCCAGGGCCTCGGGGGCTACACCCGGCGGGTGCGCTCGCGCGCACCCACCGGAACCACGAGTACAAAACACAATCCCGACAGGAGCCGCTACAAGCCAGAATCTCGACAAAACCTCAGGGAGAGTGCTCGCACTCTCCCCGAGGCTCGGGGGCTACTGTCGGATACCATAAAAAGGGTACCCTAAGAAAAAACCGAAAAGATTGCTTAAACCTTACAAATATCAAAGCCAAGGGACAACCATGAGGTCTCGGCTGATTCACCGATTCGCCCGAGGCCTGCGCCGCAAAGGCCTCGGACGAAAGGCCAACTCTCCGCCTTGCCGAGGCCCTCTCGCCAAGGCCCTCTCGCCAAGGCCCTCTCGCCGGGTTACCAATTCTCCGACTCGCCGAGGCCCCACCCCGCACGGACCCTCGATAAACGCCACGGGTCAACCGATTCTCTCGACGACTCGAGGCCGGCTCAAGCAACAACCTCGTCGCCTCCGTCTCGACCGACTTCTCGACAAAACGTCACGCGTCCAACCACTCCTTGCTGCCACCTAATCGCTACGTCGACGACGCCAGCGCGGAGTCAAGAAGTCACTATAGGCACGACGGCCGACGGACCAACGGAGAGCCAGGATCTTCGTGGTCTCGAGGCAGGGGGTTCACGCCATCGAGCCCCCATCTGAAGCTCGGCTTTCAAGACCAACCGAGCCTCGGCTTTTTCCGGGCGCCCCCATTGACGGCTGCCACCTAATTCTCGAGCTCCAGATCAGTGGCAGCATGTTGGGGCATCAAGTCAAGTCCACTCAGTCACTATAGCCTCGGAATGGGTGTATAGGACCAACGCTGCTAGCCCTCCAAGCCTCGGCAATCCACTTGGTCTCGGCAAGAATTCTCGGGATTCACGCTGAGAGCAACACAGGACTAGCTCCTCTCGCAGAGACTTGTAACCCCCTACTATTTTGTAAGCTACTACAAGCACTTGATGCAAGGAATACAAGATCAATCTCTCAGACTGGACGTAGGGCACCGATTGCCTGAACCAGTATAAACCTTGTGTCTCTTTGCATCACCATCCGGGATTAGGGGCACGCAGTTCAAATTCGCTAGTTGGTTGAGGACCCCCGATCCGAAACACCGACAAATGTCATTACAGACATATCCTAATATCCATAGTACTAAATTTCATGTGAGCGGCAGATGCTAGCATGCCCTTATACATAATCTCATGTTATCACTAGCTCACAAGTTTTACTGGCTGTTCCAAAAATCATCACAGCATAGAAGCATCCTAATTGTTGATTCTAGCAAAGCTTGTTGTCAAATTCACTTGATCTGTAGATTGACAGAAAAGATGTGTTTTTCTACAGCCCTAGTTTGGCTGCACAATTCAATGCTACTTTTGCTCTAGTTCTGCACTAACTCAGATTATAGAAAAACAGCCAACAATGGCCAATACTTGATGCCAGCGAGTTTCTACCATAAACTATACAGACTGATAAGATCATTGGCATGGAATTGATACTGCATTTGTCATGAAAGATATATTCATATCGTTATATTTATGATAAGTTGATAACTATTACCAGCGTAAGTAAGACTATAAAAGGTCAAAGATGTGCGCTGGAGACATATTTTGTTGTCTAATAAAGTAACTAGGAGTAAAACACAAAAGGGTACCAAATCAGGAGCAGTTGTACACTTGTACTCATCAACAATTTCTGCTATCTAGCTCTCAACTAACCCTGGCAAAAACTAAAGCCACCCAATAATATCCAACGATTATCAGTACAGCTGCTAAGTAGTTTTTATTTGTCTCAGCAAATCAGGAGCAATCACTTTCATCAATTAACCCTTGTATTAATTGGTAAAAAACACCGTGCCAATTTGACAATTATAAGCGCAAACAGCTTGTACCAACCGAACAACAATTTCAAGAACACTTATCGCGAAGATGTCAGAAATACTACAGAAATCAATATCTACAGTTCAGGTTGAGAAAAAAATGATGTAATGTTCAAGAGCGATAAGTTCGACACACCTATTGTCCAGAACGACGAGTCGGTCTTCACGGGGTGCGTCAGGTCGTGCTGCAAAATCACCCCAAAAAAAAATATTCAATCCCCAACCAGACGCGAGGAGATCTAGGGAACCTAGTGGAACCGAATCGCAAGGGAGCCTGGAGAAGGAGCACATACATTGAGGTACGGTGGGTTGCCGCAGATGCCGACCTCGACGTGGCTAGCCTTGATGGTGCAGCGGAAGAGCTTGGTGGGCACGCCCTTGGGGAGCTCGATGTACATGTTCACCTCCTCTAGCGTCTGGTCCCACTCGAACACCTTCTGCCCTGCTCATGGCGGGGGATGGGGATCGACCCTAAGTCAGAGGGGTGGGGGTGCCGCGGGGAAGGCGGGCTGTGGAGGGGTGGGGGTGCCGCGGGGAAGGCGGGCTGTGGAAGATACGAAGGTGGGGGAAGCGGCTCACCGTTCTGCACGAAGGTGTGGCGCTTCTCGGGGGCCAGCTTCTCCGCCATGGCTGGCAGCCGGTGGGAGCACGTGCTCAGTCCTCCCGACGCGTCTGGAAGATTCCGGACTCTGGCTCGCGTGACTCTCTGCTTAAGGTACGGGTAATAGCCCTCGAAGACGAAGAGCGGAACTGAGGGAGCGAGGACGGTTGCGGCGACGGGAGTGGCGAATTTTGCGGCAGGGGACGCCGGGAGCCCGGGTCGGCCCGGACGGCGCTCGTGCGCTTGAGTTGGGAAAAACAAGGGCGGTTCTGCAGAAGTGCTGCGATGGGAATAACAACCAAAATTCATGGTCCTCACGCTATCAAAATGCCTTCAACTTAGCAAATGATGTAACTTAGATCTTTGTACCATCGTACTGTTATTTTTTAGTCTCTATAAACTTGGTTTTATGTTACATCGGAATCTTAACGGGTTTTACTGTACTCCTACCTGACATTGCACTTTAACTTTGCATTAACGTGGACTCAATATATAGGGCCCACATATCAAGCTCACCTCTCTCATCTACCCAGAAAACCAGTCAAATGTGGCATTACGCGTCACTCATCATTGCACTCCATTTTCATGCCTCGTTCTCATGGCCGCCACCTCGTCCACCCATACTCGAGGCTGACACTATCTATGTCTCCCATGTCGCCTAGAAGCCAGGGGTGGATAGTGCTGGCAGAAGCGTTCTTCGCCTTCGCCATGGCGATAATAGAGTACGAGGAACGGTTCACGACAACAATGAAGAAAGTCGAGAGGAGCGAGCTTGGCGCCAAGTTCCAAGGCGAAGCCTCGCCGTATGCTCGCCAACCTCGCACCTAGGCCACACATGTTGACGTTCCTACGCTCACACCCCTCGTGACGCCTGCTCCACACCCGTGCAAGCGCCTCCCACGTTGCTAGTTCCATACTAACACTTGCGCCTCTAGATGTCGACTCCGCGCCCGTGCTCCTGCATCGTCACCCCACGACGCTCTTGGCGTCTGAAAGCTCTAGTTTGGTTTTGGTGAATTGATAAAACCCTAAGTGCTAACCTATTACTTTAATGATTGTGAGATAGGTAGCACATTCCAAGTGATGGAGCAAATGGATGGTGGAGAGGCCATGGTGATCAAGTGCTCGGCTTGAAAAAGAAGAAAGAGAAAAATAAAATGGGCTCAAGGTAAAGGTGAATTTGATAGGTCTATTTTGTTTTGGTGATCAAGACACCTAGTGGGTGTGATCACATTTAGAATAGATAGTCGTACTATTAAGAGGGGTGAAACTCATATCGAAATACGGTTATCAAAGTGCCACTAGATGTTCTAACTCATTGCATATGCATTTAGATCTAGTGGAGAGCTAACACCCTTGAAAATGTTTATGAAAACATGCTAACACATGTGCATAACGTGATACACTTGGTAGTTGACATATTTGAGCAAGGGTGGAGAAGTTCGTAAAGTGGAGGAACTGTTTCATGTTGACCGGACTCTGAACCGGATCCTACATGGGCGCGTTCAGTCAACGTGGCAGTGTAGTGCATGGCTTCAGGTCCTGACCAGACTCTGGCATAGGCGCGCGACCGGACACAACGGTCGCTCGTGACGTATGCTTACGTGGGGGCGTTTGTACTTGGCGCGCAGCGAGAGAGGGAGCGGACGCTGGGGCGCGTCCGGTCACCTTCGACCAGACGCGTCCGGTCCTCAAAATCCTACTCGGGGTGCTTATTGGAAGTGACCGGACTCTAGGCGAGGGTGCGTCCGGTCATCTCAGCAGTGCGTCAGGTCAATGGCTTGGCGCATGGGCGAGCGCGCGAGCGAACGCGGTGGCGCAGCGTTAGGTCGACCATGGGTGCGTCCGATCGTTACTTGATCGCTGGCACAGAGAGACTTGACCGTTGGAGATCAACGAACACCGTCAAATGTAGGAGGACGTGTGGCGCGCATCGTGTGACCAGACGCTGGGAGCGCGCGTCTGGTCACCCCGACTGATGCGTCCGATCATGGCGTAGTGAACTGCAGTGAGAGCCCAATGACTCTATTTCGTGGAGGCTTCTATTTAAGCCCCTTGGCCGGCTCAAGCTCACTCTCTTGGCCATTTGTATTGACATAGCAACCTTGTGAGCTTAGCCAAAGCCCTCCCACTCATCTCCATCATTGATTCATCAGATTAGGAGTGAATCCAAGTGCATTGCTTGAGTGATTGCATCTAGAGGCACTTGGTGATTGTGTTTCGCTGCGGGATTCGCTTGTTTCTCTTGGTGGTTGTCGTCTCCTAGACGCCTTGGTGCAATGAGGATCGTCGAGTGGAGTAAGGTGATTGTCTCTGGCTCTGATCGTGGTGATTGTAAGGGGTTCTTGACATTTCCCCGGTGGAGAGCCAAAGGTACTCTAGTGGATTACTCATGGCTTATGTGATCCTTATCTTATGTTGGTTGTGCAGCACCCGGTTGTGGGTTTGGCGTGTGATGCCAATTAGCGCGTGAACCTCTAAGTGAGTGTATCGCCACAATGGGGACTAGCTTGCTGGCAAGCAAGTGAACCTCGGTGAAAAATCTTATGTCATCTTGTCCCGAGGATTTCATTGGTTATCTTGTGATTGATTGATTGACCATCGCTTGCCACGTTGGTATAATTTCACTACCTCACCCTTGTATTTACATTCTTAGTGTAACTAAGCTCTTTAGTGTAATTAGTTTTGAGGGCTAGCTTATATCGGGTCTAGTGGTTAGTGAGGCTCTTTAGTTAGTCTTTGAGAGCTCACTAACTTAGTGGTAGTGACATAGCCTCTTATATGGATTAGAGATCATGGTGACTAGAATTGTGGATAGGAGGCTTGCATTTTGAGTAGGCTAGCGCAACATGCTTCGCTTCATAATTATCTAACCACCTTGTTAAGTGTTGTTGTAGAAATTTTTATTGGCCATACACCCTCCTCCCTCTAGCCATTAGGACATTTCAAGTGGTATCGGAGCTGTGGTCACCGTGATTTGAGGCTTAACAACCTTCGATGTCAAAATGGCTCAAATCAACAACTCCAAGAAGCCACCCCAATTCGATGGCTCCAACTATCCTTATTGAAAGGCTAAGATGACCACCTACATCAAGTCAATCAATAGAATGTGTGGAAGGTGGTAGAGACAAAGATTGAGGTTGCCAATGAGGAGGCTCCCACCGCCACCGAAGAAGTGCTATTCCAAAACAATGATATTGCTTTTAGTGCCATTCATGATGTTTTGGATGATGGCTCATGAGGCATGGAAAAAGTTGGAGGAGTCATTTGAGGGCACACAAGCGGTGAAGGGTGCCAAGGCATATATCCTCAAGAAAAAGTTTGCTAGCTTCAAGATGAAGAAAGATGAGAGTGTGTCGAAGATGTTCCATAGGCTTCAAGTGCTTGTCAATGATCTTAAAGCACTTGGAGAAGATGTGAAGGACAAGAACTTCTCTCACGAGTTCTTAAGATGCTTACCATCAAGATTTGGTACATTGGTCACTATTCTAGTGAGGAGTGGTTTGGACACCATGACACCAAACCAAGTATTGGGTGATGTGATGACCGATGATACTTATAGAGATGATGATGAGAAGGAAAAAAAGAAGGAGAAGAAAGATGAGAAGAAGGATGACAAGAAGAAGAGTGTGGCATTCAAAGCCACATCATCCAAGGGCAAGGCCAAGCAAGACACATCAAGTGAAGATGAAGGTTCATTCTCTTGGGATGATAATGATGATGATGAGAAGATGGCTCTCTTTGTGAAGAGATTTGGCAAGTTCATGGTGAAGAAGGGCTATCATGCTAGATGAAAGAAGTCTTCATCAAAGAACAAGAAAGAATCAAGAAGGTGCTTCAAGTGTGGAAGCAAGGATCATCTTGTTGCTCAATGCCCATACAATAGTGGCAATGACGATGATGACAAGAAGAGCAAGAAGAAGAACAAGAAGAAAAAGAAAGAGAAGAAGGACAAGATGACCTTCAAGAAGAAGAAGGGTGGTTCATATGTGGTCACTTGGGATAGTGATGCTTCCTCAAGTGATGATGATGATAGTGATGATGACAAGACCACCAAGATGAAGACCACTAAGGTATAAACTTGTGATGATGGATGTGATGAGGAACATGATAATAAAAATGAAAGTGAAAGTGATGATGATGAACCAACTAAGGATGAACTACTTAACATGTTAGATGATGCTAAGGAACATTTTGACATTAAGAGAAGGGAATGCAAATACTTGAGAAATGAACTAAAAGCCCTTAAGGAAGCCTTTAATGAGCTCAATGCATCTCATGAGAGTCTAAAGGAAGACCATGAGGAGCTTGGCAAGGCTCACAAAAAGCTTGAAACGGCTCATTCCTCTCTACTTGATGAGCAAATTATGAAGGAGCATGTTGTAACATGTGATGTGGGCTTAACTTGTGACATAATTGATGAATCTTTCTATAAGCCTATCATTGTTGTTCTTACTAACCCTTCTTATAGCACTTCCACTTCTAACTCATCTAGTAGTGATGGTTTTACTTGTGATACCTCACTAATGGTTGAGAATGAGACCCTCAAGAATGAGGTAAATGAGCTCACTCGCATCTTATGCAAAGCCTATAGTGATGAGGACCGCTTGCTTATGTGCTTGGGTAGCCAAAGAGCTTCTCTCTACAAAGAGAGATTAGGCTATACCCCCAAGAAAGGCAGGCGGTCTTTACTCTTCACAAGACTAGTTTGTGAAGAACAATGATCGGTTTTGCACTAGTTGCGAGCAAGTTGGTCACATAGAGCAAAAATGCATGAACAAGAAATCACAAGCTAAAGTATCCTCAATTAAGCTTGATTCTTTCTATGTGCTTACCTAGGGTACTAATGGTGTGAAGGCTAAGTTCATTGGTGCACCATGGATGGGCTCAAAGAAGAAAACCATTTGGGTGCCAAAGAGCTTAGTGACTAACCTTCAAGAACACAAGCAAGTTTGGGTACCTAAAAAGAATTGATCCTCTTTTGTATGTCAATTACAAAGCCAGAGGAAGGCATTGGGTTCTTAATAGTAGGTGCACTCAACACATGACCGGTGATGCAAGAATGTTCAACTCAATCAATACCAATGGCAATGATGGTTATGATAATATCACATTTGGTGACAATGGCAAAGGTAAGGTCAAAGGGCTTGGTAAGATTGCAATGTCCAATGTGTCGGTGCAGAAAGTGACCAACAAGTAAATATTTATAGTTTTGCCGTACGTTGTGATCAGAGGTGGCCTAGCACTCAATGACACAGGGTTTATACTGGTTCAGGCAACGTGCCCTATGTCCAGTTTAAGTCGGTCGGTGACTTTATTCCTGAGCCTAGGTGCTCGAAGTTTGCAGTGGGATTACAAACGAGAAGGAGAAAGATGGGGTGTAAAAGAGGTCCGGTCAGCTTCGGTTGGAAGGACCGAGAGTGACAGGAGCTCCGCTATGAGCTAAGTGTTCAAGCATGTGCTTGAGGTCCGAACCTGGCGGTTCTGTGGTTGCGAGCTAGTGAACTTGACCGATCTAATGAATCTGGAATCACTTGAATCCCTGGTTGGGAGAGAGCGCATCCCCTTTTATAGATGAAGGGATGTCCTTACAAGTGAGAGGGAAGGAGTATGTTTGCTTCTAAGCCTTGTTGCCCATGATGTAGGGTACAGGATGATGGTAGGCGCCCACAACACTATTGGATGTCAGATGCACGTGGGAGGTTACGTCGTCTTGTTTGGGCAGGGTAGATGTTGGTACCTGCATATACTGTTGATGTCTAGAGGCATGTGAGGAGTTTCACCATGTTCACTCGGTATGGTAAATCCCGGCGCCCTCAACACTGTCGATGCCCAGAGGCATGTGGGGGGGCCTTACCGTATGGGAGTTAATGGCGCCCACAATACTATAGGTAAAATGTTGGCGCCTACAACATTGTTCGTGTTAGGGTAGTTGCAGAGTACTGTTCCTGCAGGTGTACAAGGTATGGTCCCTGGTATTGTGGTTTGACTTGTGTGCCTTACCTTGCTTTTCTCCGTCCGTTCCCTGGTCCTTTCCGGGCGAGCGTCCCCGGTCGGTTGGTCCCAGTCGGAGAAGAGCAGTGAGCATGGTCTTTGCATACCTGCCGTCCGGGGTGACTAGAGACCAAAGTGGCGCTACAGTCGAGAGAGGTGGGCGGAGTCGACAAAGCGGGCACCGCCTCCTCGGCCCGGACCTTCGGGTCGATGATTGGATCGCCCTTCCCGGCTGTTGTTTAGACTCTTGGGCGGCCCA